ATGTGGGTTAGAGCGTCGTGTGACTTTCTCTATGAGGCGGGCCAGAACAACATCCATTGGATTCGAGCCCTCGGTTAGTCGCAGCGTTGTTATTGATTAAATACCATTCTCTCTAGTGCCTTGGTGAGTAGATCTGAGCTGTTACCTGTTGGAGATGAAACGTTTCGGTGAGTTGTTTTCTTTGGAAATTAATAGGATTTTATGGCCATTTTGTTTGCTTTCTTGAATGATTTGTGGCACAATGTGTTGTGTAAATATTTTTGCATAATGGTATCACATTTTTCCTTCTAAAGTTTTGAGGCTTCAAACTCGATAATCTGTCAAAAACTTAAATCAAGACGCCTCGTTTTGCCTTTCTGCCGAGATGGCAGAAATGTATAAGGTTGTTTTTATTAGTGAGTACTGAAAAATTTCGATTTCATCTATTGATGTATTTTCACAAGATGTCAAGGAAGGGAAGAGTTCCTGAGCTTTGCAAGGTTGAATCTTCTTGGCATAATAACGGGGATGCCATCCACATAGCATAGGACGGTTGATGGATTGATGTCAGAGATACGTTCTGTCTCCAGGGACTCACTGTAAATGTTTCCAAGCTCGGCATTTATGGGTGACCTGATTGCCATGTCTCATTTCAGTGTGTGATGAGGTAATATGATGCCAAATTCATCATTAAAGAAGGTTACAGATCCTGATGATGGTGCCTGGAATCAGTGATCATCTGAACAACAGATATTACTGAGAAGAGCGAGAGTGCCTTCACCCAAGCAAAACTTGTGGATAACTAGTAGGAAGCACTCAACCCATAATTCAAGAACAGTTCAAACTTGAGAATACGACAAATCACTTAGGAAATTATTAAAATTCAAAAAACTTTTTGGCCTTAGGATCTTGATCATTCCTACTATACATAGGGTAGAAACATAGGTATAAAGTAGAGACAAGTTACTGAAGGAGCTGTGGCGAGGTCATGTCAGAGGCTGCAGTGAGGTTGTAGAGATCACCTGACAGCTGTGTCTCGAGGTAGGCGGAGCGGCGAATCATCCAGAATCATGTTTGTCAGTGTGACCGTGATCCAATGACTTCCTGTATTCTGAAGTGTCGTGTCTGTCGGTGTTACCAGGAACGCTTTCATTTCAAGTTCAGCGATGATAATCTGGGCTTTAGCCCAGTTCATCAAGGGTACTACAGCGTCTCTGTGGATCACGCAAGCATTACTCTGGTCGTTTCTGCTGCTGGCCTAATTATGTTCATTAATCCTCATCGATAAATTTTTATCGGTTTCCCCTATGTAGTTTTTCGTCATAGTGTCCACATGGGATTTTGTAGACACGGGCGGTAGATACTGAGATGGAAGGGTTCTGATAGATCACTTCTTGGTGGGATCTTTTATGGAAGTCGAGGCCATGGTTGACACATTATTACCACTACTGGCACGGGCACACACTGTGTCATCAGCTACGTCACCCACACGGGAGGACTAAGTACTTCCAGGTTAGTTCTGAAGAGTAGATTTAGCCCAGCGTCTGCAATACTGCATGAAGGTTGGTAAGTTTAGGCGTGTGAGATGTAGGTACATTCATATTCAATAAAAGTAAGATCTGACACGAGGAGAATTCTCGAGAAAGTACCCATTGCCCTCCTCTTCGCACGTGTAACACTGTTTGAGTAAAATTATACGCGGTTGTACTTGTTCCTGGACTTCCTATGTACTTTGAGAGAGAGTGTGTTAATGGTGGGTGTTTTACAGAGGAAAGTGTCCTTGTTGCTGGGCTTCCTGTATACTTTGAGAGAGTGTGTGTTAATGGTGGGTGTTTTACAGAGGAAAGTGTCCTTGTTCCTGGACTACCTGTATACTTTGAGAGAGAGTGTTATTTATGGATGCTCCGCAGAAGAGTGTCCTTGTTTCTTGACTTCCTTTGTGCTTTGAAATACAGCGTAATTAGCGGTTATTCTGTAAAAGAGAGCGTATGAGGAGGAGAACTGTCCATCTTGTTCCAGCCTCAATAGAATTTCATAGCCGGTTTGACCTTAAATAGAGAAGAATGGGCCGACAAGATATATAATCAAAACCTGACTTACACACGCACTGTCCACCACAGACACGGAGACTGATGCACACCAACGATATTCACAAAAAAGAATATTAACTCCTCTACTCCGTCACCAGAAACCATTGTTTTAGTGATTTCCATTATTTAATAACATTTTTTTTTAAAGGAAAAGTGATTTTTGTATGTGAAAGATAATGGAAAATGGAGAACTGCAGAATTAACTACAAGATTCTCTGCATTTATTCCAATTCAGTATACATTATACAGTAACCACAATAACTAAAGTATATGCTTACGGTATATCAGTCTCCATTCCAAATTTGAATTTATACAACATTATTTTTTATGAATGGTTTTATCAAATATTTTACAGATTTTTTACATAGGTACATAGCTACAAAAATAATTTCATTCTCCTGTACGAAAAATTACTGTTGAGAGAGCAGTTTCTAACAGATTTTAAATAAACTAATAGAACTGTTAGCAATTTTATCCCCAGGTGATAGGGCTATTTTCAGGACTAAATATATTTTACAATGTCTTATACCTCATACCCCTCAAGGAAGGTTCCGTGATGTTGGTGAGGGGCTCTTGATTTAGGGAATTCGATCTGTGCTCCAGTTCCCCGAATTAAGCCTGAATGCCTTCCACATCCCCCCCCCCAGGCGCTGTATAATCCTCCGGGTTTAGCGCTTCCCCCTTGATTATAATAATAATAATAATTATACCTCATACCTCTTGAATAACAAAAAAAGGCACAATACCGTGACTGGAACGACTTGTCAATGGTCCAAGTCGTACCGATACGTCGTCGTAAGCTTCTCTCTTTTATGTGCGGGTTATTTGTGTACCTCTTGAACTCCAGTCCTCTTTTGTCTACAAATATAAATGTCATAGCATGCGAAATTGTAGATTTTGAAAATATACAGAGAACTTTCCCTGCATCTATCAGTACAGTCAAACACCTCAATTGCTGGAATCGTTTGAAGTCCGTTCTAAAATTTTCTCTTATACATTTGAAGGTTTTTTTTTTCATTTATGTTAATACAAAAATTAATGATTTTGTACAAAAAACCCTTAGGAAACTTACCTAACCTTATAATAAGAGCAAATTAATTTAGCCTAATTCAACTAAATATATTTTATATATGTTTACAATAATTTAATAATAAATAAACACAATAAAATACATATTTTTTTCGTTAGGTTCAGAATGATTTTTGCGAAATTATTGCATACACAAATTTCTGCTTGTTTTATTAGGCAAGAGGAGCGTTACTATTTAAGCCAAAATCGCAAGTTTTACCTATATGCCACGACATTATATAGACACACACACACACACACACACACACACACACACACACACACACACACACACACACACACACACACACACACACACACACACACACACATACACACATTCACACATTCACACACACACACACACACACACACACACACACACACACACACACACACACACACACACACACACACACACACACACACACACACACACACACACACACACATATATATATATATATATATATATATATATATATATATATATATATATATTATATATATATTATATATATATATATATATATGTATGTATGTATAAAGATTTTTTTTATTGATTTGAGACCGGATTTTATTCGTGATAACAATATGCAGCTCTCTGCACCGTCTATTCACTTTCCTTGATGACGTTTAAAGTGAATTATCAACTGGACTCGTCAGTGAGACAGCTCTGTAATGATGTAGTGCTCTACTGGAACGTAAGACGTAACATTTCCTATTTTTATTCTAACAATCAATTTGCCTCCTTATATAAATTCTTTCACTTCTAGATCGTGAAATATGCTTGATGAAACAATTAAAGTTATTCTCTCTTTCCTAAGTTCAAATCTAATTTTCTCTCATTTTCGAGGCGCTGCATGAATTACGAATGATGAAATTTTCGTAGATATAATATGAATACCTTGAATATAGTCCAGAATAGGTGCCTGAATACCTCGGTATGTTATTTCAAGACTCAGGTTGATGCCTCGCTTGGTCTTTTGGCTTTGTTTTGTCGTTATCTAATAACTGTGTTTTTTTTTTTAAATTCTCTTTTGATATTTCAATTAATTTTGAGTGTTGGTCTTTTTTTAAGCTAATAAATTTCTTCTATAAATTCTCTTTTAAATTTTATATTTGTTACTTCACACGTTTCTTCTACTGATTCAGCAATTTAAGCATCGATTGTGACTTTAGTGGAGCTCAGAAGACGGAAGACATCTTTGTACGAAACTATGTCGGTAATTACATGCCTTTGTAATTGTCTGTTTATCATTGTCTGTTTATAATTGACTTTGCAGTTACAGCAGCAGAGCTGTGCTCGTGGTGCTCCTTCGTCGGCGTTCTTTTCATATGGATTTTTCAAGTTTGTAGTGATAGCACTCACTTTCCTAAGGGTTGTCCTTTCTCCCGTTTTGTACCCCTGAAACTCGGTTATTCGACAGCAGTGATTAAAGCTGGATTAAACGTGAATACCTCGCAGTTCCCAGACTCTGTATAACCCTTACTCTGGAGAGGCTTATCCCATGCAGAGCATCCCATGCAAGAGTTTCATATTGCAAGGAAATATTTAGAACAAAATTGCATTCTAATGTAAATAGATTTAGACTTGTTCAAATAGTAAATAAAAAAAACTGGCTCTGGTATACGTAGTTGCTAAAGTTAAGAAAACTAATTTTACATCATAATGTTTATTAGATGCTCTTTATTAACTAATCCGAATATTGAATATGTATAAATAATAAAATAATCAAAGACTATCAATGCATTAGTAATGTATTCTTCTTCGTATCAAAGATGAGGCATGGCGATCACTGGCCACTTTGAGGAGCTACCTTTTCTCTGCTCCATTTACTAAGTATTGTAATTTTGTATCAGTGTTATTCGTCACTCCACCAATTTATTCTTCACCTTCATCCCGCTCACGGTTGCTTGACTCCACAGGAGCGAAGGATCATAAAGCATAATTGAAGGATTCTTCTCCAGGAAGCATTTATGTAAGCCAAGAACTTTGAAGAGGTAATTTAAAAACGACGAGAAAAAATGATAGCAATAGTTCTGTCCTTGAGGGGGTTCATGAGGTTCGTCTGTGCTCATCTGAGACGATTTTGACTCGTCAACATTAACGGGCCATTGAATGCTCCCTCTGCACCATCTTTACGCATGAAGACAAAGAGATCAGTAGATGCAAAGTTTTCCCTTTTGGTCTTCCAGCAGTATTTGCTTGATGGGCAGCTGCACGATCGTCAAACTTGGCCTCCTTACTAATAGCCATCTCATCAACAGCTGTCAATAAGATGTAGTGCATATAAGTAAAAACCATTACCAGACGTGAATGGTTAATATGAGTCACACTGAAAGATCCCTGTCGCTGACTAAATTTAGCTTTCAAACCCGCGGCTTAGATATTAACTTACTTGCCCCAAGGCTCACGCCGCGGGGCAAGGAAGTTAATATGTATGCGCCAAGCAGAATCTCACAACACAGATCCCATTGATCCTGCTTGTCGTGAGATTTTTATGATAAACTAATAAGTGACGGTCTTCCTTGACCTTCATTATCAACAACTCCTGCCGACGAGCGATATCAAAGAAGTAATGCAAGGAGTCGGTGAAGACTATTTTATCTTCCATGTCTTCATATTGTTTCGGTTCTTCTTGAGTTTGTTCCAACTTCCATTCATCAGATAACTTCAAGATGGAATCCAGAACGGGTTATTTCATCCATCTAGGAAGCCTAGATTTGTCTCAAGAAAACATCACTGACACAGTCATCAAGTCGCAACCTCTCGGTGAGTCTTCTTTCTGAGGGATCATGGAAGAAGCTCATAATTCCACGTTTGAGTGACATTTGTGCTCCTTCCAGTCAGTGGAATTCGGGCTGGTGCACGCATCTGAAGCTGAAAAAATGAGAATTTATACATTGGGTGAGAATTTATTCTCTAAACATTGTTAGATGCCAATGAAAATATACTCGAATTCTTTTTTTTTTCTTTTAACTAAAATATTTTAACAGGGGCACCTTGAATTTTTTTTATGATTTTTCACTCGTAGATAAGAACCATCTTATGGGTTTACTCTTTCTTATGAAAATAATAAGAACTGTTTTGAAATTTGCCAGCAGAAGGTATGAGTTTCTCATTATTATATTTATGCGTTGTCTCTGGTAAAAAATATATATATATATATAATTAATCCTAGACACTGTATAAGAAAATTTTAAGACATTAAGATATCACCTAATTGTTCGATCTCATTTTTTATGTATTTCCACTTTTCTCTATTATTTTTTATGTATATTATTTTAACAAATTCATTCATTTACAAGAAGAAAATTTTCATTAAAATTCAAGGTGGAATGAACATTGTGAAATGGAACAAGAGCTGCTGGAAACGTTGAGCGTGAGTGATACTATATGTTATCTTCACAGCCTCACACAGTACACAAGTGTACTTGTTTTATTAGGTGTTAAGTTTATCAACTACATGAAGGTCGTGTACTTGATAGAGTTGAGTCAAGGATATTTTAATATATAGCAAACGGATTCAATCTTTACAACCTAAGATATATATACCCTTATTTATATATACTGTACAGTGGTCTTCTCGAGAAAGATATTCTCTTTGGTGTATATGCACTCTACCAAAGGCTTATTCCATCCAACTCACTTAGCAATCCTTGAAACTATAAATAAATATATAATAATTAAGGATAAATTAAGCTAACATAACAATAAAAGTTGATGTTTAATTCTGGATATGGGTTACGACGTTCAGAAACTGACATCGTTCAAAAATTAACCTTCAGAAACTGACGTCGTTTACAAAACGAACCGTTCAATTTGAGGTAGAATTGTTTGTAGCTGGTGTATAAGAGACTCGTGCCTGAGGGTAAGCCGAACAAGTTAATACCGAACCATACCACGGGCGGGAATAGAACCCGCGATCAGAGTCTCAAAAATCCAGACCGTCGCTTTAACCATCGGACTAGCTGGTCCAGTGGCTAACGCGACAGTCTAGAGTTTTGAGACTCTCTGATCGCGGGTTCTATCCCCACCCGTGGTATGGTTTGTTTGTAATCGTGTCATTACGATTTCGTGAGTCAAGTTAATACCGATTATTATTATTATTATTGTCGCAGGATATTGTTGTTGTTGTTTATGTGAAGCCTTTGTTGAAAGTGGTATAAAATATCGACAAGTTGATGAGCGAGACACATGTGCAACAGTTGGGTGCTTTTATTGTTGGAACGTTTCGCCTACACAGTAAGCAGGAGTAGCAGCGAAATGAAGATGTAATCAGTCCATCATCTTTACTTTGCTGCTACTCTTGCTGTCTCTGTATTTGACTGAAGAAGCCTACTGTGTAGGCGAAACGTTTCAACATTAAAGATACCCAACTGCTGCACATATGTCTTACTCATCATCTGAAGCTTTAAACCCTTGTGGGTCATTCAGTGGAGTGTTGGAGGCTCGATCCATCGCTTATCAATTGCTTCACTGTTCTGTGACCATTCAGGGTGACTGTAAAGAGTGAAACAACGTAGAGCGTATGATTTCCTCTACATGCGCCCTGATGGAAGACAATGACTGCTAGAATCCTTGACGAAGGACAAGGCGACGGACGCCGACACCGCAAGTATAATGTCATAATTATCTTGTTACATTTCCTGAGCATGCGTATCCTACTATTTCTTCTTGTAAGAATAACTTTGAACCGTTCAGAGAGAGAGACCCGATTTGGTGAACACTTAGTGTTCTGTGCCACAACGTTATTTTAAGTGTGGTAGGAGTGTTCATGCTCCCATATGTGAGTATCATTGAGGGGTATAAGAAGAGATGTATTATGAAGGTTTGTGGTGTTGTGAGAAATGACAGTTGAGTCACAGATGGTGGCCACCGAGACAAACATGACACGATAGTGTTCTCTATAAAACTTTCCTATTGTAAGACTCGTAGCCCAGTGACACAGCACTGGATCTGCTACCGGTTAGATCCACGGTACGGGTCCCAGTCTATTCTTTTCCTGTATATGATCGGGATCCACACTGTGACCTAATTAAATCTGTAGCTGTTCTGTACCTGGTTATCAATTCCTGCCTCCTGCCTTTCCCAACATCGTTCCCAGCAACACCGAGATTGATAACGGGGTTGTTTCCACTGCCTTGCACAGTATTATATAACCCACTAATGTAACCATCACCAAAGACATCATTAATTTTACAGGTAAGGACACAAATTATGCAAGATCAAGGTCACTAGTGACATAGTTGCAGCACTGTTTTACGAAGGGGCCTTCGTGCCTTACATATTTACTCTTTCACTTCGGTATTTATAGCAGTAGATCAATATATGGAATGTAATATAGCGTATATGAATTTCAGTAAGGTCTTTTATAGGGCACCACATTAGAGATTGTTGAAGAAAGTAGCAGAGCATAGAATAGGAGGAGAAATTAGCTCCTGGATCGAGGCCTGGTTGACCTATAGACAACAGAGAGTTTACATAAATGTGGGGAAATCAAAGTGGGGAACCCGTTACCAGTGGTGTTCCACAAAGGTCAGTGTTAGGTGCTTTACTGTTTGTAATGTACTTAATCGACTTTTATGATGGAATAAATAAACCTGTAGGCTAGTTTGCAGATAGACCGTCAAATGAATTTTGAAAAACCTAACTATTGTACCTATGGACTAAACAATGTAGATCTCAATAAACTGAATGTAAAAAACACTTAGTTCTGGTTAGCGGTAATCTAAATTCAAGTCACCAGTGCATTAGTGTTCACAATAAAGCTGATACAATTCCTTCATATCAAGAAGTATAATTAATAGATGTCCTTAGGTTGTACTTTAAATTTATGTGTTCATGGTAAGGCCTCGTTTAGATTATGCTGCATAATTCTTGTCTCCATATTACAGAATGGACATAAATAATTTAGAAAATATACCGAAAAGGATGACGAGATGATTCCATGTATCAGAAATCTGTCCTACGAAGACAGACTGAGGACACTGAATCTTCACTCTCTAGATAGGTGGAGAATATGGGTTAATGTTAGAAAAAATTAGGTTCAGAAAGGATATAAGAAAGTACTGCTTTGGTAGTAAAACTATGAATGAGAAGAACAAACTCCCGAGTAACGTCACTGAAGCGAAAAACCTTAAAAAGCTGTTTCTTTTAGAGAAGTACATGACTTCATATGGATGGTTGTGAGTTGAACCTGCCTAGGATGAGCTAGTGTAGGACTGATGCAGATCAGGGCGTATTTGTTATAAATAAGATTCTGAAAAAAAAATTAACTGGGTTTAACGCCTATTGACTACAGGGGGGTAAAAAAAAAGGCTCCAGGTCATCTGTTCACCACCAGCCAATGACACTTTAATGAAAAATCTTTGTTATGAAAGGAATATTATAAGTAATTTCTATTGAGTACAATATTGTTCAATTATTATTATTATTATTATTATTATTATTTGTAGAAGTAGAACTAGTAGTAGTAGTATTTTGTATTATCAGTCTAGTATGAGAAGTAAAGGGTAAATAAAATATGCACAAATACTAGGAAAATTTTGTCTGTGTAACTGAGCATTTTATTCGTGGTTGCAATAACCCTTAACACTATCCCAGCATATCTTAAGAGAAAACAATGGAAGAAATTAGTCTTAGAGATGTTTACCTGCCTTCTCCTCTTTCTTCCAATCTTGCATGGTGAAGTGCACGCCTGAGATGCTGTGTTTGCGTGTGATGGAGGCGTGTGAGGATGAGAGTGAAGTGTGTAGAAGTAGATTATACGAGTGTGAGTGGAGTATGAGAGAGTTGTGAGTCTATGATGAGTGTCAGAACAGTGTAGGGGGTGTTTGAGAGTGTAGCGAATGCAACAGGGTCATGGGAGGAGTGTAGGAGACGAGTGAGTATGAGAGAAGTATATCTGGAGGGTATTATGGGAGTCAGCGCTCCCGTGGCCTGGTC